GTATTGTATTAATTTGAAGAAGTAAGATAAGAGCTTTTGAAGAGCACCTGCAGGCCTTATGCTGGGGGATTTGCAGCAGCGATAAGCTGAAGGGGTTCGATATGATAATGCATAGATACGATTAGTGTTGCGATGTGGACCTGTGGATTGCCACGGGGCTTGTGCAGTTTACTATTCGGTATTGATTTATGGACCTCGTAAATTGCACTCCACTTGAAACCGTTACGAAACCGATACGAATAAGAATTATCAAATATGAATGGAGTTGTGAAATAAGGGGATCACAAAAAAACCATTAGAAATCACAAATTACGAAAGTTACGGATTTATGGTGGCAGTTCGTTGTAGAAATAATGAATGGAATTGGAATGGAAAATCACTGAAACCGGATTACGCCACCAAATACCAAGTAACCGGTTCAGTCTCATTCTTAATCTCCCAATCTTCTTAATAAATAATAATACAAACTCCCAAGCAAAACGACTTATTATTGGGCCGTGATACCATTTTGGAAATTTCGCAGGCTTTATGCAGATCTTATCGCTGGCAATTCAGCAGTGAAATTGATTTGAAATTGAAATTATGGTCCTCATAAAATTGAAATCAAGGCTAAATTGGATTTATGATTAAGGGCAATGCAAACATTGAAGTGGATTGATTGGTGGTAATCGAAGAAAAGTGGTTAGTAAAATGGGATATAAGCGAATTGTATGGCTCGAAAAGGTGCGAAGAATTGCAATGACAATTTCAAAATATACAGCTTCTAGGTCATATCTACCAGAGTAAAAGTAACTCTTTTGCAGTAATACCTTCTAAATTGAGTATAAATATACAAATAAATGAGTTTCTAAATTTACAAATGGATATTATGAAAAAAAATCAAATAATAGTTATACTATACTTTCAAAATAAGGATCTGTTGCTTAAAAGGCATAATATACATGAGGTATAACCAACATAAATGACAAAGGAAATGGATATTAACAACAAAGAGTCAATTAAATATTAGGATCAGTTCTTTATAGGATAGATGTACCAGGTACATTTTACCTATACAAAAAGTTCTAGTAATCGAGGTTTTTTCCTAATAACGATCAATGATCACCAATCTGGATATAATACTCACATTCCAGAGCCCACTCCTCCAGGTTGTCGATGGAGTCACGGATGAAGGTAACATCCCGATCGCAGAGGTCATCGTCGAAGGTTCGGTCCTCGTAGACGCGTTTCACCAGGCCGGATTTGGTCCTATTTTCGAGTAGAGCATGCTGGGAGGCCAAACTGAAGAACTGGTGGGCCAGACTGTTGCTCCACGGCGTGGAGTGGCCGGTGAGTAGGTAATTGGACGAGGGATCCTGGGCGCCGGCTGTCACGATCAGCAGCGCGACTGCCAGGACACTTAAAAGGTCCTTCATAATCCTATGCGATGAATACGATGATCTGGAGAACGCGTCGCGACCACCTGAAGGTGGATTGTGTTACTGAGTGGGCGATCGCAGGGATCGCACTACTTTTATAGGCTAGTTACTACTTTTTTTTGGGTCGGTGTTTCGGGTACCCGATTCGAGTGGGCACTTGAGGGCAGCGATGACGGTGACCAAGCAACGCCCGCCCCTGTAGTCTATAAATATTGCCGGCTACTGGTCTTGGAGCACCCGATAAGGGGTAACCTCCCCTCGGCCAGCGTCTCCCAATCAATTGGCATGCATTGCCCGGTTTATGGCCCCGGGTGTCTTATCTGGCTCACTCCCCCGATCCCCACCTGGATTTGCCGAACGGATTTGTGATTATAGTCCGCCGTCCGGCGTCCATAAATCCATGTCGAAGGCAAAAAATAGTTATCGCAGGGCTGTGGCCAAGATTGCAGACACTAGTTTATCATGCGACTCAAAAAATAAGACGATCCAGCAGTTAGATTCGATTTAATTAAATTACCCATTGCTAGGGGACTTTGGTCCCACGAGAGGCCCACCTGAACAGACAATTATTCGATAATTTCGGTTGGTATGGAAAGTCAAGGTCGAATTGAGGAAGGGGTTTCTAAAAAAAAGTTAGATAGAAGAATGACTATGGCACTTTTTAATGGATAATAAGCGTAATAGGAATATATATAGGAAATTAGGGTCATTATATAATATATTTGTTTTAGATAAGAATGGTATTTTGAAAGAAAAGGCCTTGCATGAAGTGATATAAGAAATTAAACGAAAGCTTGTGATGATATGAAAGGGTTGTGGATAGATTAAAATGGCATTATGATGAAACGATTAGGAATTAAATGTGATAAGAAACCAAGCTATAGCTTGGTGATGATATAAGACGAATAAATAAGTAGTATTATTAAAATTGAATGAGTTACAGTAACGAAACAAAATATATAATAAATGTTGAGATAAGGCGGTTTGGGTCTTAGGTATCTAGCAGCAAATAATTGGAGGGCTTTCCTGGTAAGCCAATCGAATTTCCCTGAAACCAAACCCAAAAAAAGCGTTAAAACACTTCGTAGAATTTAAATAATCTCATTCGGGGCCGCGCGGAAGCGAAGCGAAACCGTTTCAAGGAGGTAAACAAAAAACGAGTCGATAAACCCGGTGAGGAGCATAATCAGCCTTATTTCATTTGCCATATCAAACGATCGTATCTACGATCCGAGAGGCCACTTGCCCCTGTCTATTGAGATCGAGTGGTGGCATTCGTTCCGGAAGACACTCATCACTCACTTCAGATGGAGTGCGGAACCATCGATAGGAAATCTATACGTATATCTCTTTCAAAGAAAGCAAAATTTGTTTATGTTTATGGCGTGGGAACAACACCCGTGACTATGTGGGTACCTACCAACCCAAATCTTATCTGCCGATTACAGATTACCCCGGTTACTGGCTCAAGACCAAACAGCTGAGCTGGTCTCCGTAGATTTACTAGCGCAGGAAATCATTGTAAACCAATTGTACCAAAAGTTTTCCTTATCGAGAGAAACGAATCTCAGCAGGATCGTAAATTAAGTGATAAGCCACGGCTAGACTGGCAAAACTTTGGGACCTAAAGAACAAGTTGATTCAGATGAACAAATTAATCACAGATTTGTGTTGCCGTGGAAGTTAAGATTTTATAGGAGCTCGTTAATACGAAAATATGGTATAGTTTAACTATTGGAAGATATTTATGTAAGAAAGCATTGTGTTACAGAGATTTAAGAACTCCCTAGTTCGACTTAACCATATATTACCTATTTCATTACAGAACTCGTCAAGTTTTCCTTACCGTGATGTCATTGCAAGGTCGCCTGATCGCGTATGCTTGCCTCCATTTTTACTTTGCGACCCCCCGCTGAAGGTCTTTCGTTCATTCTTCTGGAGTGGACCAACTTCGAATGAATAAAACAACTATCTATTATTAAGAACGTCCTTGAATATAGTAGCTAGGATCGAAACTTATCTCTACATACCTTCCCTAAGACAATAATCATAACACTCCTACGCAATTCATACCATCAAGGTCCACCTCTAAATGGGGCTATCAGGGATCGTTCCGAAGCGATGGGATCGACACACATATATCCCTCGGAGCTAGAACGTCAATTGGCCGGCACTTGAAACTGTTTTCGACACATTATTTATAGATGTTCCAAGTGACGATGGCTCGGTTTGATAGTAACGGATAATTCCCAGCATAAAGTAAACCGCTCTATATATAAGAGGAAGAGCGTTACGGACTTTGTACCCAAACAGCCATAGTTCTCCCGACATCCGCCTGGCGATATACGAAAAGCTATAAAGCTTGGGGGAAAGTGAAGCGACTATACGGAGCTTAAGGGCTATAAATCCTTCTGCGAATGTGAATCATATCGATTCAATAACTCAAGGGCTCTCGGCTCTTAACTCTCGATTCTGAAATCCCCAAGCCCAAAAACACCTGCTTCCTTATCACTAACTACGTTTCCCTGTTGCGTTATATTTAAATTTAGGTAAATATGCATTGTATATGACTATGGTATGCATGGTTCGACATTATTTTTGGACAACTTTCTGGCCGATCAGCAGATTATATAATCATTGTTTAATCTTAAATGGATTATATGCACTTGAAGAAAATTTTAAATATTTTTTGCTGATATTTATGGGTTATAAATTCCTTATCTATAGAAATTACAGTGGACCCTCAGCGACTATTCTCCAAAACTTTCAAAAACTTTAAACATTTTCAGATTCTCTTCCATTCCCACCCCCAAAATAAATCAATGTTCTTTCGTTTTAATTTCATAATTTTTATTTAAATTAATTTATTTTACACTTTCAAGCAAAGTATTTAGTTAATTACAGTGTTGTTGGTTTTTTATTTTGTTGTTTTTGTTTGCTTTGTTTTGTTTCGCTTGGTTTGCTGTGATTTTGGATCATTACGACAAAAAAAGGAAGGGAAATAAAGTAGGAAATAGAGATTGGTAGAAACAATAATAATATTAATAATTATAATCATCGTAATAATAGTAAAAAAAATATTTATATATTTATGTTTAATCATACACTCATGCATGTGGTTGTGTATGCGTGTGTGGGGTGGGGGGGTATGTGTGTTTTTGTTTTTTAGGAGGGGGTGTTTGGGTGTCATTAAATTAATGAAATCTGATAGAAAAGTCAAAGTCATCTTATCAGCTTAACTGTCGCACTATTTTACAAGTAGGTATTATGTCGTAACGGTTTATCTTTATCATTTATCATTATCATTTATCGTTATTGTAATCATTAGCATAAACATTATCATACTCATTATTAATATTAGTTATTAGTATCAATCGTTTTTCTTCGTTTTTCTTTTTTACCGTTTGTTTTCTCATGTTTTGTTGTTGTGGTTGTTGTGTTAGAACTAGTTTTTACTAAGGCTTGGTTTACTTTACACTTGACTTATCTATCCTTCGCATCCTTTGTGTTTTTGTTTTTGTTTTTGTTTTCCTTTTTCTTTCTTTTTCCCCTTCTCGAGTTCTTTTTTGTGGGTTTTCTTGGTTTTTGTTATAAGAAATTACATTTTGTATGCATAATAATAAACGCGTTTAGCAAAGTGCTTCGTCTTCGTCTTCCGGTTAACGATTTTCGTTTTTTTTCCGCTGCTACTGCATTTAGAATAAATGTTCATTTATAATTTACAATCGTGGACTTAACTATTTATATGTATATATATATATATATCCCGCGCTCTCGTGTGATCGATCGTACCTAAGTAGATATAAATGTGTATATAGCGCTGGTTTTAGACTAAGGCTTAGACTCTAGGTATCATCCGGTTAATGCGTTTTGTGTTGCTTCTAAGTTTTCTGGATTTCTGGCTTCCGGCTTTCTTCGCATCCTTTCTCCTCCTCCTCCTCCTCCTCCTCCTCCTACTTCTTCCTCTTTTCATCATCATATATAATTGTAATCACAAATAGTTTTGGAATATGCTCTCTCTCTCTAACTTTCTTTCTTTCGCTCGCTTCGTCGCTCTCACACAAAACGGTTTAAAAACGATAATTGATGTGTCTTTACCACTCGCACTCGCACACTCACTCAGCCACTCGCTTTCTCTCGCTCTCTTTCACACCCATAACTTTGTTCATTGCTGCTGACTGTGTGTGGTATAAAAACAAAAACAATGCGCAGAAAAGACGGCAAGCAGCTCTTTCTCTCTCCGTCTCCTTCTCTCTCAGATCTTCCTTATTTTTTTGGTTACTATCGTGGGTTGACTTAAAAATTAAACGCTGCGCCCGCTAATCCGATAACTTTCTTTTTTTGTTTTGCACCAGCACGCGGCGTCTGCGTTTTGAAGGCAGCGTCTTGTTATCGCAACTATTACCGATCGACGATTGTCGATAATCAATTACCGATCATTGTTCCATACGTTAAAAGTACAAAGGCATTCGGCGGCAGAGCCCAGTGACTTGAGTATGTTTTCGTTTCTATATAATAATATTTACTTTAACTTGCTTTATTTTTAGTTTTTGTTTTTTGGTGTCTGTTTTTTGTTTTTTTTTTTGATTGTGTGCAGCGCAGCGTGGGTTCCTTTTCTCCTCGTCCTTTCTTTTTTTATGTTTATCGGTTTTATCGGTGGCAGGCGCAGCTTTTTTAGTTGGTTTTCTTATTTTTTGTTGTCTTTCGCTTAGCTAAGGAAACTATGCGCGTTTCGTTTAAAAACACACTAACTAAAAGTATATATCCCGATATATTTATATATATATTTTTATGCCATATGTGTGTGTGGCGGTGTAGATCGATCTATATATAAACGATATAACCGATTCTTTCGATATATGCGCGGCTTACGAACTAGGGCATTGGATTTTACAAACTGTCGCGTACATGTGACCTACTACACCTATCAGTAATCGGTAATCAGTAATCGGTAAATATATATTATATATTAATATATATCTGTATTTCTGTATTTGTATTTGTATTCGTATGTGTGTGTGTGTGTGTGTTGGGTATTTACATTAATGTTAGTTACTTGCTGATCTCGCAATCGAAGGCATTTTTATGCGCAGTGAATAAGTAGTATTCCTAGTATCTAAAATTTACAAAATCCCCTCCTCATCTACTGTCTCGCTCTCTCGCTGTCTTCTGTCTCTTTCTGATTCTTGGGCGGCGGCAACTGGTAGAATGAAAACAGTTTGAAAACGGAAACAATACCACTATCCTCCCCTCCTCCGAGATACCATCTTAGATGTACAAAAATATAATAGTTAGACATGATATAAGAACCCAGTTGGAAACTACAGACTACGGTCTAATAAATAGTGATATAACTAAATCGCGTTTAAGCCTAAAATTTTATAGCCTAAATGGTTTTTTGTTTGTTTTCCTTTGTTTTAGCGTTAATAAATAGCAATCAATCCTGCGTATCCCCCGTAAAAAATCCTGCTTTCTGCTTTTGAGACAAATGGGGGTTCTGTTGGCGCTCCCTCATCCCTTTCTTTTGGCTATCACAAAATCAAATACTAAGTAAAACGTCAAGTTATTATGGTATAGTATATATACAATTAGGTTCGAAAATAAATGGATGTAAAATTGAGGAATTAGGAACGCGCGCACACGCACACACACACACACGCAAAACGACCGCACTCATGCATACACACACACAAAGGGGGCGAAATTCTTAAACGACTAAAATCCTTAATCAATATAAACAATCAATTCGTGAACAATTTGTTAGAAATTACAACTCTAATTTGTTGTCGTCCTACGTATGCATAATCATCATAATATATATATGTTGTAAATGTTAGTTCCTTAGTTAGCTCAAGTACCCTAAATCTGTTTTCAAAGCATTTTGGCTATTGCTATTTTGTTGCTCTTGTTAATCATACTCCTTTCGTATCGCTACCCCGGTCATCCCACTCCTCTGCTAAACTGTTTGGTGTTTCGTTTGCTACTGTCCTGATTCCTGATTCTCCTAATTGCGTTTGCGGTTGCGTTATAATCGTTATCAATATCATTATCATTATCATCCTCCTCATCCTTGGTTATACTTATTGTTGTCTGTCAACTGGAAGTGATTCTTGGGTTAAGATGATTAAGGGGCGGCGGCGAGGCTAAAAGGATGAGGATCCCCGATTTCGATTCAGACTGCGATTACGATTACGTTTCAGATTCCTATTCCGTTCGATTTGTGTATAAAAATATGTATTTACTCTATGCGTGTTCCCAATTTGAAGCTCCTATAAGGAGCACTTAATCAACTGCCGATCGCCAACAGGCACATGTTCACTATAGGCTATATATTTCTTGTGCGGATGCGGATGGTCGGGTGAATTGTCGTCGTCATCGTCGTCTGTCAACTGGCTTACAACACTACAAGGGTACAAAAAACTTAATTCAACTTTACAACACTCAATCTCTCAATCTTTACAAACATGCTTGATTCGTTTGTTCGCTTCTGTCACAAAATAAATAATTTTACGTTACAAAACATTTCGACATTCGCTGCTGCTTAAAATGTAAGTTACTAAGGAAAGGTTTTTCAGCTTTCGCTCAACGTTTTAAACGTTGTCACATCGAGGTCTGCCCATGTGTCGCCTCCTCATCCTACTAATCCTCCAATCCTGATCCTGATCATCTCATGCTTTTCTATTTCGGTTTGGTTGAACAACGAATTGCATTCATTAATTAATTAATACATGGTGTGTGTGTTATTAGAGCATATGAAATATATGATTTATATATTTACTTAATCGCGCGGGCTTAAATTGGAAATCGAATCATAATCGTTTGTTCAAATTTTGTCCTAGACTTAAAGTAAGGGGTGTGGGTGCTCGGATGAATGGGGGTTGTGGGAAGTTGGATATCTTAGGCTACAGTACAAATTAGGTGTGATAGTTGCTTGGTTTATAATCATGATAACGCTATACAATTAGGGGGTGCTTTTGATAAAAAAAATAATTATATAATAGTACGCAATAGGTCGTTTAAAGTTTAACACACACTGGTGATCCCTGCTGGCTGATGACGATGATGCTGATGTGGATCCTCGTCGTCGTCGTCGTCTGGTTGGTGATTCAATCAGTCTAGCCCCTGGGCCACGGCTACCACCCATTGTAGCTGCTGCTGCTGCCGCTGCTGTTGCTGCTGCACTAGAGTCGCTCCACAAACTTGGTCAGCTGGTCGGAGGCGTCGGGCAGGGCGCCACCCGCATTGCCCACTCCGACATTACCCACACCGACATTGACGCCAACGCCGACGCCCACACCCACATCCTGGGGCACTCCTGGCAGCGGCGACTGATGGTGCATGCCGTGATTGTGCATTCCGTCGTGCGGTGGTCCCTGCGGCGCCGGCGAATGGCTCATCACATGGTGCGGCGAGGGCTGGGCCCGTGGCGAGGCGGATGGAGCAGCACGTGGCGATGGCGCTGACCGTGGCGATGGCGTTGGCTGCGGCGAACGGATGGGCGGCGAGGAGCGGGCCGATTGCATCAGCTGCTGCTGAAGCGAGTGCGGCGTCGGTGGACCCATCACCTGGGCATTGGGTCCTCCGACCACCGCCGACGGATTCTGGGCATTCGCATTCGGCATGGCCACCTGCATCATCTGCTGCTGCTGGAGCGGTTGTTGTTGCTGCTGCTGCTGCTGTTGCTGCTGCTGCTGCATTCCCGGCGGCATCCCGACGCCCATCTGCTGTTGCTGTTGTCCGGGTCCTGGCTTCACGCCCACGCCCACTCCGACGCCAACTCCGACGCCCACCTGGCCCTGCTGCTGCTGCAGCATGTTGGAGGCCGCCGCCGCATTGGCCATCGAGTATTGATCGCCGCCGGGCACGGCTCCTGCTCCTCCAGGCACTCCGCCCACTCCCACGACGCCGCCAGCGCCGCCAGCTCCGCCCGCATTGAAGTTACCCGCTCCGCCGCCGCCGCCGCCGGGGAACTGCTGCTGGCCGGGACCGGGTCCCGCTCCGCCCATGTGCGGACCTCGCTGGCGCTGCGGATACGGTGGCGGGTACTGGTTCATCTGCATGTAGCGCATCTTGTTCCAGTTCTGGTTTGGCACCTGTGAGGGGGTGGAATTTGTACTCAGTATAACAGCCGGAATTCACTGGGTTCACCCAATCATAGGATCGTTTTAGATAGAGTTGTGTTAAATGTGGGTTAACTGCAGACCTCATCAGGAAATTACTTTAGTTTAAATGAGTCTTTTTTAGAAATGACTTTAGAATGGATCTTAATAATAGAAAAACCTGATAATAACCAGCATTTTTGGTTTTTTTGTGGTCGACTATTTTTAATATTATAATTATTTTAGACCTCATAAAAAATTACCCTAGTTCAAATGAATGTTTTTGTAAAAAATGGTCTATGAATTATTATTAATAGTAGAAAACCCTGATAAATGTTTTCTATTTAACTAGCATTTTACGGTATTTTGAGGTCGATTGTTCTACATATTTTGTATAGTGGGCATCGTAGAATTTATTTTTTAATAAAATATGGGTTTATACCTATTACAAACATCTGTATTATATAACTTCAGGCCTCAAAGAAATTACTTATGTTTAGATAAACATTTTTTTTAACTAAATTAAGAGTGATATAATTATATAATGGGAAACCCTGATGACTATTCTATATATTTTGCATTGGTATGCATCCTACAATTATTTCCTTTTTTCGGCATTTGATTTTAGAATTTTATACCAAACCGTTTTCAGTATTTAGGATTCGCCGATTCTTATAGTAAAATAAGATAATTAGAAGTTTATATATCAATTTAAGGGATTTTCTCTCTCCAATTATAAAAATAAACTATATGACCCGATTTGGCCCCAGATTGGACTTTTTACGAGACTGTTCTTGGTCACTCACCATTCCTCCCTGCGTGGAGACGCCGGGCGACATGTTGGGCGGCAGGCTCTGCAGCATCATGGCTGCGTTCTGCATGTTGGGCATGCGATGGGGTTGTCCAGTGCCGGGTCCTCCCGGCCCGCCTTGCTGCTGCATGAGATTGACCTGCTGCTGCTGCTGGTTGGGATTCATCTGCTGTGGACCGCCGCCGCCCTGCTGCTGGTTCATCATGTGCTGCATCTGCTGCTGCTGCATCACCTGTTGCTGCTGCTGCTGTTGTTGCTGTTGTTGCTGCTGCTGCTGGGTATTCTGCGGCCCGTTGCCCGCCTGTTGCTGCTGCAGAGCTCCACCGCCGGGGCCGGGTGCTCCTCCGCCCGCCGCCGCATTGATCTGCGACTGGTGGCTCTGTTGGCGCTGCTTGATGATCGCCGCCATGATCTGGGGATTTTGCTTCAGGATTGTGAGAATGTGCTGGTTGCTCTCGTTGGTGGGATTGTTCTTGATCTTCTGCATGATCTGGGCGAGTTGCTGGGTGTTTAGGCCGCCGCCAGTGGCACTTCCTCCGCCACCGCCGGCTCCGGGTGGTGGACGCACGCCGCCCACAGTTCCGGCCATTGGCGGTGCTCCCATCCCCATGCCCATGCCTCCGTGCTGACCGCCGACGGCCATTTGGCCACCACCCAGCTGATTGGGTCCGCCCAGGCCGCCCATCATCTGTTGCTGCTGCTGCGGCGGTATCAGATTCGTCTGCATCAGCTGCGAGGGCTGGCGCATGCCGCTGGCGTTGTTGGCATAGCGCGCCTGGGGATTACCGCCGCCCGGATTGGCTCCTCCGCCGCCGGCACCGCTTCCGCCCCACTGATCCATGGACAGCAGGTGGTTCACGTTCATGCCGCAGTTACCAGAGCCGGGAACACCAGGGCCCCCGGGTGGATTGCCACCGCCGCCCGCGCTTAGTTGTCCAACACCCACTCCTCCAACTCCGCCGACACCGACGCCACCAACTCCACCAACACCGACGCCCATGCCGCCCAGCTGATTGACAACATTCGGATTGGGTCCGGCGCCTCCCATCGGTCGATTCATCTGCGGCGGCGCCATTGGCACACCTTTGCCGAAGTTACCGCCATGCGAGACCTGCTGACGGGCCGCCTCCTCCTGGACTTGCTTCACCACCTGCAGGACATTCGGCGACGGTGAGTGACCGCCACCTGGTTTCATCCCAATGCCCGGCTGATGTGGATGTGGTGAGGTCATGCCACCCATGCCAACGGCTCCGCCAGCGCCCGAAACGGGCGACGGCACTGCCACTGTGGACGGCGACATGGCACCCGCTCCAGGCGGCAATATGCCCGCCTGGCCGGGTATCACCTGCTGGCTAACCGCCACGCCGGACATCCCCACCACGGGCACTCCGCCAGCGACCACGGCCGGGCCGCTGACGGCAGCGGGACCGGGCAGGGCAGCCGGAGCTGCTGTCCGGGACATGAGCGCCACACGACGACGCAGCAGCTGTTGCTGTTGGAGTCTGCAAAAATAGAAAGAAGGATACAAATGTTTTAGTGGGTCTACAGATGACTATACCGCACATAAACCAAATCAATTTGCTGCCTCTTCGAAGCATTTAATTGATACAAACGAATCAATACAATCAATTGAAATGAACTCACTTCTGCTGGAGCTGCTGCTGCTTGAGCTTGTGCTTGATGTTGGGACAGAAGGGCACGGGGCATTTCTGCTCCTGACAGTGCTTGGCATGGTAGCAGCAGAGGGCGATGAGCTGCTTGCAAATTGGGCAGCCTCCGTTGGTCTTGCGCTTGCAGTTCTTCGTGTGCTGGACGACGCGCTTCATCTTCTGGCACGAGGGCAGACGGCAGTTGGCGTCGCGACACTGGCAGGCGTGCACCAGGGATTGGATGCACCGCTGGATTGACTGCTTGCGGGCCTCCTGCGGATTGGCCTGCTTGTGATCCGCCGGCGCAGAGCCGTCGTCGATGTCGAAGCCGAGCTTCTCCATTTTGTGCGGATGGCCGACCTTCTCCTTGCAGACGATGCACAGATCGAAGTCCTGTGGAGTGGGGAAGGAAGGGAGAGATGGATTAGAAAGGCGTGTTCAAGTTTTACCAGTATTCCCCTCTATATTTCGCTTGACGTGATCCTCTGTTTCTAATGGATAGCTTTGTATATATATAGAATACTAGTTTTATACTTTAGATAAATACCCCTTTATGTATTGAAAATTTCTGAATCACTTTCTGTATATAAATATATGATATGATATATATGAATGATGATATATATATAAACCATTAATCCTCAGATTCCCTATATCACTTTATATAATAGTTTAACCATTAACCATTACTTTAAACGAAGATTACTTTGTAAATCGCTCACTGAATTGCTGTCTGAATTTCAATTTCTTGCAAAATCAGAGCTTATTCTTCTACAACGCCCGATGTGATTTATGAGTTATAGCGTCTTGAGCGGTTCGCACTCAACTGAGCGAGACAAGTCGAACTCAAGCCACACTTATCACATTACCCGCCTTATCTCACTTGGAGTAGGCTCATGCTCATATGTATATACAAATCGTTTTTGTTTTAATTAAAAATGGGAATATCCCATAAACAATACTCACATCACAGACGGTGCAGTGGAATCGAGTCTCCACCGCCGTCTTGCAATTGTTGCAGGTGTAAACGAACTTATCCTGGCCCTGGTTATGCAGCTCGTACAACATGGACAGCGTCGAGAACTGGGCGCGCCGCAGCGATGAGAACTCAAAGTGCTTGTCGCGGGCGAGGGTCAGGAAGGCATCGCGTCCGTCCATCAGATCACATGTGAGCAGCGGATCGGGATCCTGGATGGGCTGTTGAATGGAAAAATACCAAGTAAGTCAACCTAATTCCACTCAGTTATGAAAGCACACTAACCGCTAAGCTCGCTGCCGACTGAGCGGAGTGCAGACGGATCACAAAGAAGACCTCCTTGTGCTTCTCCATGGTCGCATAGATTTTGGCGGAGAGATCGTTGCCCGATTGGTGCTCATTGGACTTTTTGCTGTTCTTACGCTGCGCCGCCTTCGATTTGTTTGACTTCTTGGCCTTCTTCTGGCCCTTCTTCTTGCCATCGCCGCTGACCTCGTTCTCCTCGATGGAGAAAAGCTGGAAAGGATTAAGGGATCATTTAATATTACAAATATTCCGTATACTATTCATATATAAACAAAATTAGCTACTAGTTTGAATAGTTATATACTAAACAAATCCTTTCCAACCACACTTACATTCGCTGCAGCCGCTGCCTCGGCGGCCTCGGCCTGCTTGCGCTTCTCCTCCTCCTCCTGGTCCAGCTCCTTGATGCTCTCCTCCAGCACATTGGGCCAGAAGTCGCCCTCAAAGTAGGGCAGCTCGGCGGCGGAGCCCAGCTTGTCCTCCATCGCCTGCTTCAGGATGTCCTTGTAGTCCTGTATGATGCGTTCGATCATGCCCTTGTCGAGCATCTTCTTGTACCACTCCTGCAGGCGCTTGGGCTTTGGAATCTTTTGGTCCGTGGGATGGCAGTGGAAGATGTAGTCGTCGCCCTCCGAGGGCGGGCAGGCCCAGATGTGGGCCATGGTGTAGCCCAGCTGCTTCACATAGTCCATGTAGCCGAGCAGGATCTCGTGATATACAGCCGTACGGTATTGTCGTGGCCGGAAGAAATGAACGGAGTCCAGGTAGGCGATGTAAACACGGCGAGTATTCGGCGCCGGGCACTCCGAGCCATACTCCTGGACGTGCATGCCAAAGAAGCAGACATCGATGCCGTCCACCTCCTCGAAGGCGAAGAGGGCCTTGGCCCGATACGGGAACTCGTTCATCATCTCGCCCTGCTCCACGAATCGTCGCCGCATGCCGGGCTTCACCTCCACGCACTTGTCCGACGAGCTGACCACACGGATGTGCACCTCGCCGGCGCCCGCCTCCTTCTTCTTCAGGAAGTTGTTCACCCGGGTCTCTATGTACACGCCCAGCTTGGTGGTGGGCAGGCGCTTCGCGTTGAACTTGTTCTCCTTCCGCTTCGAGTTTTTCTTCTTCAGGCAGTTGTCGCACACAAAGCCGCCGGGCCAAATCGAATCCAGCCAGAGCACACAGATCTGGTGCTGCTTGCGCCCGCACTCCTGGCAATCGACGAACGGCTCCAGCTCCAGGTGATCGTTCTTCATCTCCTTGAACTGGTCCTTCTTGATTTGGCTAAAGGAAGAGGGGAAACACATGGTGGTGTTCATAATTAAGGTATTTTTCAAATAATCTAAGCCCCTAATTTCCTATTGATAACCCATATCTTCAATTTTGTAATCTATTAATATTATAGAACAAACCAATTTTATTTGCCCCTGATTTTTCTCCAGTATACAAATGTTAATTAACATAAAATAATGGAGACTCTTAAAATTATTATACCTATTGAAGACTTTTAAAGCAGCCTATATCTATACATTTGTATCCTGTTTATGTTTATTTATTTAAACTAGCATTTTCAAAGAGCTTATTGCTATACAAATAAAATAGTTACTTGGTTTAGAGTGTTTCACTTAAACCGCACCTTTTCGAGGGTATTCAATTTCCAACATAAACTATTGTTTTTAATGACCTTCCATGTAAACCTAATAATATTTCTGAACCTATTTCCTCAATGCAATGATATGCTATATGATCTTTTGTAAGATCGTATTTTTATCGAAATCTGGTCGGATCTACATGAACTATAGGTTATATTTTAGAAATAATCCCGTTTTATAAATCCAAACTATTTTCCAACTTAAAGTAATACATACAATATATATTAATTGCGTTTTTTGGTACTTACGTTTGCGATTGCAGAGGATCGTCGCCCAGTGTGACCGTATCGCCCTGGATGTCGTTAAAGCACTTTTGGCAGTAGGTGTATCTATTTGAGGCGACACCGTATTCCTTTAGACTGTTGTTTTGATTTTTGGTTGTTCGATTGCGTTTGTTTTTATATAGTTTTTTTGTTTTTTTGTTTTTTTTACGATTTTAGTTGATTGATGGACGAAATTTGAAGATGGCAGCCAAAAAGGGAACACAACAACACAGGCGTGTGTACAGGTGTATGGGTGTACAGGTGTTCGGATGTACGGATGTACAGGTGTGCGTGCAAGCGAGATGGTTATATGCATTTAGTCAGTTGCGAGTGTATATGTGAGTGTGGTTCATATGTTGTATTTGTTTCAGTTTTTTGTTTTTTTTTTTTTTATCAATTTTCACACACACAGAGAGTGGTACACACACACAGACACAAAGTTTGATTAAGACACGCAATAATACAGTTATGAGGTGACACAGATTAACGGGTATTATTATTATTATTTTGGTTTTTTTGTAGTTGTTGCGAGGGAGAAAAGTAAATCAAAATAAACATAAAAAGAAAGAAAGGAAGAGAAACAAAAAGAGTGATTTTTTTTGCATTAGAATTTTTACACATTAATACAACAATTAAGGGGTATAATCGTTATAGGTACTTTAATATCCCATGAGTATTATGATCTTAAGTTTAGAACATATCAAAGAGCCAAAACTAGACAAGTTAAACTTTTTAAAAATTCCATTTTATACAATTAATATAAAGTGAATTGTATTTCAACTCCATTTATATGAATTTGAGATCGGTTTTCTATTATATCATATACCTCCTATGAATGTATTGTATTGTAATAAATAATACACTGGGATATTCAAGTTTTCCTGTTATATGAGTTCGGGATCGGTTCGCTTTCATATGTTTTATATTGATGTTTGAACAGATCTTGCAGTTGGGTTACTTGGTCGGGGTTTTTTTTTATTAAAATATCCCAGAAGTACAGTCTTACAAGGATGTGATTTCCCTGTTTTTGGTTCGTTTTGCTCGGTTCTGACTACTCGAAATATGTGGAATGTTAAACCTCGACTTCTTGGACCAGGGATTGGATTTCGTTAGGTTGAATCCAGTTAGTTAATGGCCATGATGGATCGGGGAATGCTTCAAGCAGCAGCAAAAGCAGCGATACTATAAGGTGTCTGTGTTTGTGTGTGTGTATCGTTGTTGGTTTGTTATACACCTCTAAATATATATCTTTTTCGAATTCCATTGTGCGCTATGTGCAACATTAATGATTTTATGTACACAGCAACATTAGGGATAAAACACACACACAGGAAAACACAGAAGAGAGAGGGCGGGAAAGGAGCAAGGGGGATCAAGGATCTAAAGCCATCAATTAGTGCACAAAACGGACATTTTAGATTATGGTAAAGTAAAGATGCTGAAAGCAGCAATCAAACATTGATACGGAATCGGTAACAGAGAGAGCAAGCGGTTTATAACTAAATCACAGGACCTGTTCTGGCTTTATAATTTTCACAGCGTTTTTATAGAGCCTAAATATTTAAGGTTTTTAAATTTTTGTCTGAAAAACTGTTTTCAAAAAGAGATCTTTGAAAACCGAAACAGGCCTCTGATTACAATAAAAGACATATATTCAAGGACTCGCTGAATTGGAACATTCTTAAACGAGCAAGCGGTTCAACTAAATTACATTTCACATCAAACAGAGAAACAGAAACGAAACGGAGCCAAGCAAATATTATCCTCGACGGGCGAGAAAGTATGGGTGGGGGCAGAAATGAAGGATCCAGATTGGATCAGCACATACCTGTTCTGATAGCTGTAGTACTTCGCATCCCGTGGAATCGTGCACAGCTGCTTGCCGTAGCAGCAAAGCACCTGTGGATTGAACGTGTACTTCCTGCCGCAGCAATAACCGAGGGCTTGCATTACAGGATCGATCTCTGCCTCAAAGACTTCGGAAAGCTAATGAAAAAAAAACCACCACAATTAACCGCGAATTCTTGAGGATCCTGCTCCTAGCCACATACCTTTGTGCAATAACGATAGACCCGCGATGTCTTGCGGTTATACAGCCAGGCATTGTCGAACATCAGCCAAACATCATCCACATACTCCCAGGGATCACTGTACTTGCCGTTCTGGATATTGGTGCGTATGGTGCCCAGGTCCATGGGCTTCTTAACGATCTCAAAGTAGTCGGGAATGCCCAGGGCCTGGGGATCGACGGGATAGCGAAACGGCACGGATTCGGGCTCCTGCCTGTAAAGCTTCTCCAGCGTTGGTAGCAAAGCGGTGCGCAGCTCTTCGGGATTGAATTCTATATGGAGGAAATAGCGGGTTAGTTTAGATTATTCTACATACAAAGCCTCCTTCACTTACGGCATTTCTTTTTCTTATCACCCGCATTGGGGGCCAGTGGCTCCGGTACGAGTGGTTTCGTATCCGTCTTGGGCTTTATATCCACCGCACTGCCTGCCGCTCCACCATCGTGGGCGCCATTGATGTTGTCCTTGCCGCCGCCAACACCACTACCACCTTCACCATGATGGTCTCCGGTCGTCGAACCTCCAGCTTCGTCCACATCCATGGCCTCGGTTTTAATCTTCACCTCGCCATCGAGACCATCTTCCGTTTTGATCTCCATTTTGATCATGCTGGTGCCGTCGTTGTTCACATTCTTTCCCTTGCCGCCGCCCGTCGAGCAGTCCATCTGGGAGCTGTCGTTGTTCCCGCCACAGCTGTCGTCCATGAACTCCTTCTTGATATCGTCATCCTGCTTGATGGAGTCCAGCTTGCCCTTGGAGGCCATACCGCCAGCATTTCCACTACCACCACTGCCGTTGGTATTTTCGCCAGATGGCGAGGGTGTCTCGTCGTCGTTGTCCCGCGCCGCAGCCTCCAGGGCAGCCATCTGGGAGGATAGACTGCTGGAGCTGCTCATCATGCGACTGCTCGACGACGTCGAAGTGGTCGTCGTCGCTCCCGCTCCACCTCCGGCCGTTCCCCCAGACATGAGGAGCAGTGGATTGCTAGCGGGTGTGGTAGATGATCCACCTGCTCCTCCTCCACCACTGCTGGTGGCCATTGTGGCCGAGGTGGGAGTGGACACAGAGCTGAGCGGTGTACCCGAGCCCGCCGAGGAAGATGATGATGACGTGGAGCTGGCACCCGCCGCAGTGGCTCCTCCACTGCTGTTGCTGTTGCTGCCACTGCCGCTACTCGCACAGGTGGCTGCTGCCGAGGCGGGTGTACTGCTCGCCGCCAATCCGGAGGCACTGGTCGCCGGCACTGGGGAGGCGGGTATGTAGGGAGGCGTACCCGGCCGATTGCTCAGCGGCTGTTGCATGAGACTGCTCACCGAGGGCGGGTTGTTGTTAGCACTGCTGCTATTGTTGTTGTTGGAGGGCGTGCCGATCGAGGGGCCGTTGGACAGGAAGCCAGGCGATGGGCTCGGAGCTGAAACCGTCACATTGGAGGCGGATCCACCCGTTCCGGGCGCTCCAGCCCCCGCATTGAGCGCCTCCAGACTCGTGGGCGTGGGCGGCATGTTGTTAAGCACACTGCCGGGCTTTTGTTGTTGCTGCTGCTGACCTTGTTGCTGCTGCTGTTGCTGCTGCATTGGCGAGCTAAAGCTGTTGCTGGTCGCCTGTTGCTGCTGTTGCAGGGGCGTGGCATTGCTGAAGGGCGATTGCGGCAGCAACATTCCCTGCTGCTGCGCCTGTTGTTGTTGCGCCTGCTGTTGCTGTTGGTGGATGTGTCGCTGCTTCATGATCTCGCTCAGCTGAGGATTGGCGCCTGTGCCGCCGTTCGCATTGATGAACTGCTGCTGTTGCTGCTGTCCCGGCACCGGACTGGTGAGCACATTGGTCGTCTGGTAGGGCGATAGCGCCGGATTGACCACCATGCCACCGGGACTGGGTCCGGGTGGACCGACCAACATTTTGCCGGCTCCAGAGCCGGGCGGTTGCTGCTGCTGTTGTTGTTGCTGCGGGAACTGCATGCGCTGCTGCTGCTGCAAGGCGAGCATGTTGCCGCCGGGCGAGTGACTGCGCATGGTCACCATGTTGTTGGTGACACCCACACCGCCGACGCCGAGAGCTGCACCCGTCTGCTGACCCAGTATTCCTGGTGGGCCCTGCGGACGCAACTGCTGCGGCGGCATCACACCGCCCATGGGACTGATGCTGGGATGAATGCAGCCCTGCAGAGGCTGCTGCTGCTGCTGTCCTGGCTGACCCTGCTGCTGTTGTTGCTGCTGCTGGGGAAGAACTACTCCGCCAGCACCGCCAGCTGCACTACCCGCGCCGCCAGCTGCGCCTCCTGCTCCTCCTGCCGCCGGATTCGCAACGCCCTGGTGCTGCATCAACATCTGCTGGTGCTGCTCCTTGCGCTTCAGTCGCTTCTCCTCCAGCTCCTTCTGGATCTTGTAAATCTTCTCGGCCAGCAGGTGATAGTACTCGGACCTGGACTTGGCCATCTCGTACATGTCCTTCTCGACCTTCTCCGCATACGAGACGAGATTGTGCATCCGCTTGTCCTGCATGGTGGTGGGATCCGAGGTGGGAAAGATGGCCTGCACCAGTTTGTGGACGAGATGGTTGCGCAGATCGGCGGTCACCGATTCCCGCCAGTCCTTCTCGTTGTCGCCCGGAGCTCCAGTGTTGCCGCCATTGCCACCACCGCCGGCAGTTCCAGTTCCACCGCCTCCAGCGTTCTGATTGGGATTGCCCGCGTTGCCACTGCCAGTGGTATCGGCCGGCATCAGGACACTGGAACCAGCTGCCACTTGGCCACCGCTCGCTCCAGCACCCGCCGTTGCTCCGCCCGCTCCGCCAACCACATGGCTCTGCGGATGTACTTGGGCCACCTTCAGCTGCTGCTTGTCATTGGCTCCAACAGCTCCGCCAGCTGCGGCACCAACGAAATTGGCATTGCCAAAGCCACCGACGTTGACAGAGAGTGGTGCTGGAATGTTGCCACCCAGCTGGGCGGGATTGGGTTGCTGCTGCTGCTGTTGCTCCACCATAGTGGCCAGGCCACCGCGTCGTCGGTTCTGGCCCTGCTGCTGCTGTTGGAGCATCTGTTGCTGTTGTTGATGCAGGCTGTTCACGTCGTTTGGCAGGACATTTGGTCCACTTGGACCGCCTGGACCACCGGGTCCGAGGACCCTGGCAGCCGGCTGAGCGCCTTGCATGCGAATCACAGGAGGCAATCCTTGCTGCTGCTGCTGTTGCATTCCACCGGCTGGTACGGGCGATAAGCCGACCTGGCCCATGCCATCGAAGCGACGGAGCTCCTGCTGCTGGACCTGCTGCTGGTGCACCTGCTGTTGCTGCTGCTGCTGCTGTTGGGTCAACTGTTGGACCATGTCGGCTGGCGTTTTGGGCGCACCCGGTGCTCCGCCCGCTCCCTGCTGTTGGGGAAGAACTATGGCAGTGTTCTGACCACCTCCCGGTGCCACCTGCTGTCCTTGCTTGCCGTCCACCACCAGACCGGAGAGATTAGGCTGTTGGTTCTGTTGCTGCTGCTGTTGTTGCTGCTGCTGCTGCTGAAGATTACCGCCTGCTCCGGCTGCTCCACCAGCCGCTCCGCCGGCTCCTGGTGGTGCACCTGCTATTCCGGCCGGGCCGCCACCAGGTGGAACACTCGCGTTTTGAAAAACCGAATGATTCTGCCGAAAGGGATAGCAAATGATGCAGCCACTGTTCGTGCACGTTTTGTAGTGCAGCAGAATCTGGCGCGAGGAGGCACAATGCTGCATGGTGCAGTCCTTGCTCTGCTTGCAGGTGCCCATGTGGGCCAGCACGGATTTCATCGCTTTGCAGTAGTTGACGTTGCACACCTCTCTGTTCGGGTTGAGGTTCTCCCTGCGGTTGCACTTGTGGGCATGGAGCAGGAGCATCAGTTGCTGCTGGATCTGTCGCTTCCGATCGTCGGGCACATCGCGATTGGCGCCACCAGGGCCACTCGCTTGCACGGCGCCTCCAGCTCCACCGCCTGCCACTGCCGGCACGCCAGCAACTGCTCCTGCATTGGCCACAACACCAGCTCCTCCCAGTCCCACTCCCTGCTGCTGCTGCTGTTGCTGCTGCGAGGTTCCTGGTTGCTGCTGTTGCTGCTGCTGCTGCCCTGGATGACCTAGCAGTTGGTTGGGTTGCGGAGGTCGCGGGCCCATGGCTCCGGATTGCTGCTGCGCCAGCATCTGCTGCTGCTGCTGTGGATTCCCACTGACCAACTGACCAGCGGGCACGGATCCATCGCCTCCGAGTGTGGACATGGGCACCACAGTGCCGACTGGTCGGTTACCCTGTGGCATTCCCGGCACAACTCCGCCTCTTTGGGCCATCTGCTGGGCGAGAAGTTGCTGCTGCTGTTGCTGCTGGGGATTGTTGCCACCGCCAGGGCCTCCATACTGACCCACTCCATAAGGCAGACTGTTGAGTTGACCTGCGAGCAGATAAAAACAAGATAGTCAACGAATCCTTGACATTACGGTAAGGAAAACACTCACCCATTTGCATATTGGGATTCTGCATGCGTGGTCCTCCGCCACCTGGTCCATTGCCTGGTCCGCCGGCTCCACCCGCAGCGCCCATGAGATGGGGGCCACGGAGCATATGCTGTTGCCCCACCATCCGGCCCATCATGGGGCCATTCTGCATGTGCATGCCCTGGTTGGGGGTAACTGCTCCGCCGCCGCCAGCGCCAACGCCACCAGGTCCCGCTCCGGGTCCACCTGGTACGGAGACGGCATTGATCATACCGCCGCCACCGCCGCCTGGCTGCTGCTTCAGATGATTGACCATGCCGCCCATGCCGCCGCCCACGCTGTTTGTCAGCACCATGTTTCCCAGATTGCCCTGGGCAATGGTGTTCATGCCTGCAAGCAAGTCAGCGAGAATGGGATTGTTATAGACGGTGTTACATAGAATTCTAGACTGAAAGCTAGACAAGATTAGAGAGACTCACCTGGTATGGCATTCATGCCATTGTTGCCATTATTCGATATCGACATGGGCATCGAGTTGACCATACTCATCTGGGTGCCCACCACCTGCTGCATGCCGGCTTGGTTGGGCGACTGGAGGTTTGGCGACTTGCTGCCCAGCTGCTGCATCCCGGGCACCACCATGGCGCCCTTCTGGCCCTGCTGCTGCTGCTGAAGCAGGTGGTGCAGCTGCTGGTGCTGCATTTGGCTGATCCTGTTGCCCGCACCGGAGCCGTTGCCGCTGCCGTCGTCGCCGCCTGTGCCGGATCCGTTGCCGCCGCCGGCTCCGTTCATCTGGGAAGGCACAACGCCGACGCCGACAACACCGCCGACGCCCACATTGACGCCGACGCCAACGCCGCCAGGCCCGGAGCCAGGTCCTCCTGGTCCCTGGGCAGCCGGCTTATTGGGTCCCCCGCCGGGATTTGGTCCGGATGTGGAGTTTGTGGTCACGCCGGAGGCGCCGCCGCCTCCATTGCCGCCGCCTGCTCCGCCGGTCAGCTGATCCGACCAGCCGCTGTTCGAGGACACCAGCTCGTCTGGCAGATTCTCCTCCAGAAAGTAGGAGATATCCGCTGCGGGAAGAGGAACAGAAGGGGGATTAGCAAGGGGTTTGTCAGGGATCCTCACGTAGGATCAATCATAATACAATTTCTAGATATGGTGAAATTAAAGACTTACTATCTATTTGAAAAAAGAAAAAATATTCTTTAATATCCGTCATATTTTATACATATATTATATAGAAAAAATTTCATTTACATATTCCACATCTTATGGTGCTTCTTTTAATATTGAAAGACACTGCAATCCTTATGCATTATATACGAATCTTCTTCATAAAAAGATCAGGAAAAGTTGGTAATGATTGCTTCTTAAAATAACACATTACGAAAGAAAAAACAAAATGCCGGCTTGCGAAAAGTAAAGTTGTGCTGAGATTTTCTTTCTCCCGTTGCCAATGACTGGTCAAGAAGGGGTTCCTTTGATATTAAAAGACAGTTCTGGAGGACCACTGCAGTCCTTATCCTTTTGTATTTATAAAATATCTTCATTAAAAGGTCCCAATAAAGTTGCTAATGATTGTCTAAGTTATAATACTATTATTATTATGGTATATTAACTAAAATGAACCATTTTCTTTGACATTTCGAAAGAGAAAATAAAATGCCGGCTTCCGAAACGTCAAGTCATACTGGGATTTTCATTCTCCTGTCAAAATGTGGGAAATGGGAAATGGAAAACGAAAAACTGGAGAACTGGGAAAATGGAAATTCTCTGGGCTCTGGGCGGTACTCACTTGGATCCATTTTGACCCGCTTCTGGGGCGGTTCGTCTAAGTGATCGGCCATCATATAGAGTTAGTTGGATTGTTCCGTCGTGGACGCGAGCGAATCCGAAAACGAAGACGAAAAATGATTTGGGGAAAATAAAGCGGGGGAAAAGGTTCCTCCGTTCGCCGGTTGTATTTCCGAGTCCGCGTATTTGCAAGTTTTCTTGATATAATATAATTTTTATGTGTCTGTCTGGTGTTTTTGTTTCGTTCTGACAATCCGACCACGTTGAAAGTCAGTCGTATTCTGCTTTAGGGATTTTGACAAGAAGCTTGGTTCGCTGATTTTCTTCTTTTTTTTTTTTGTTTTTGACAGTTGTTGCACAGGTTGCCAGAAGATTTGTTTAGTTTAGTGTTTTAAAAGATTTACGATTTGTTGTTGCTCCTTTTTTGTTTTCTTTTCTTTTTTTTGACACTGCAACACAGGGCACACGCACAATACACAACACACAAAGAGGCACTCAAAAGGCGTGGCTGGCGAGGATTGGGATTTGGTATTGGTGTTTTGGGATCTTCAACTTGATAGAGGAGGTTGTTGCTGTTGTTGCTGAGGTGTTTGTTGCTAAGGATGTTGCTGCTGCTGCTGCTGCTGCTGCTGCTGCTGTTGTTGCTGCTCCAACGATTAGTTGCCGCTGCAACGAAAGCAACAACGTCACCGGCGCTATCGTCACCGCAACGTCACCTGGCGGAGATTGTGTTGGAGATGGAGACCACCACCGCGCTGCTGTTGTCGTCGTCGCTCCCGCACCCACTCCTCCTGCACCTGCTCCTGCTGCACCTTCACCTTCTCCTCCTGCTGCACCCTCTCTTTCTCCTTCTTCGTCTGCCGCTTCCGCTGATCCTGGAGGACCGCGCAGCCACCACCGCCTCCTCGTTGCGGAGCCGTTGAGATCGTTGTCGTTGTCGCCGCCACTGGCGCTTTGGCCAGCAGACAACTCCTCCACCTTCTCCTGGTGCTCCTTCTCCTCCTCCTTCCTCTGGTGCTCCTCCTCCTGCTCCTTCGCCTGCTTCCTGCTTTCCTCCTTCCGCTTGGCCTGTGTGGTGGATTCTTCTTCTCCTACAACTCCTAGCTGCAGTTTGTTTTTGTTGCTGCTGCTGTTGTTGCTGCTGCCGTCGTTGTTCTTGTTGTTAATATTATTGTTGTTGTTGTTGCAATTGTTGTTTGTCGAACAGCAGCAGACACACGCGTGCATTTTGTGTTGTTGGGCCCCAAAAACACCAAAAGTTGACCTTGGCTGGGCGGCTCGATGTTGTTATTGTTATTGTTTGTTTGTTGTTTGCTTGTTTGTTTGTTTGTTGTTGCCTGCCTGCCTCCACTGAGCGAAAATTAACGGTCGTTGTTTTGCTTGCTCTCTCTCTCTCTCTCTTCTCACTCTTCCTCTTCCTTTGCAATCCGCCTTATTCCGCTTTCTTTCATCTTTAATCTGCTATTTTGTTTTTGGCGGCTTTTTTCGGCTCCGCTTTTCTTTACATATACATAATATATTTTACTATATATTATATATGCTTGTGTATACAATTAATATAATTTATTTTTTTATCTGCACTTGATTCGGTTTTCATTTACAATTAAAAAGGGGAAACTAAGCAATTCACATTGTTGGCTGTTGTTGTTGGGTTTGTTGTGTTTCGGTTGTTGTTTTTGTTTTTGTTGCTGGCGCTGCTGCTTCTGTTGATGTTGTTGTTTTTGCTGCCGCTGCTGCTGCTGCTGTTAATGCCGCCGTTTGCCGCTCTAACATTGCACATAGACTGTAAACGCACAAGAACAAATAACAATGCCTATTAGATTATTGGAACGAATGAGCCGCACACAAATCGAAAGCAATATTTATTTATTATTTTTTAGCCGCGCGCGAGTGGTCAGCGAAACCGAGGGGAAAAGGGAAACGAAACTAAATGCAACGAGAAGAGACAGACGATGACAGTTCTCGTTGCACTCTCTGCGCCGCTTGACGACCACTCGCTCTCGCTCACGCTCCCGCTCTCAATCTCAATCTCTCTCCGCTCTTCTCTGTTCTTGTCTCGCAATTTTATTCGCCAATACTATGCGCTGTACTCGCTACTCTGCTCGCAGACGTGTGGACGTGTGTGTTGGCCTCTCGCTCTTCTGGCGCACACACCACGAAAATGAAAATAATAAAATTTATTTTGCCGCCAGTTCACAAAAAAAAAACTAGTGCCGCTGCTGGCTAAATTATGCTTTAAAAGATGCTCCAAAAATGTAAAGTGTAGAAAAATTAAGAAAAAGGAGGGAAAAAATCACCCTTTTGGGGGGACAAAAATAATGCAAGAGCAAGGGAAAAAATGAACTAGAAATACCAGCCGGCTGAGCCTGTGGCTTACAGTCCAGTTTACATTTTAAATGGCCGAAAAAGTGGCCGTATTTTGATTTTGCTTCCGCATTCGAGCGGCCATCATATGAAATTCAATTTAATAAGGCGGCGAGTGGCGAGTGGGGTGCGAACGGGACGACACTAGAGCGCTAGTGGGGCTGGCTGACAAAAGCTTTCACACACGCACGCAGGCACGCACACACACACTTGGGGTTTGGGGCGCGCGTACAGAATTCTCACAGCGACGCCAACGTTTTCACCACACAGTTACACACACACACACGCACACCGTGAACAACGAGTTCGTGCCAGAGCGAGCACGAGTCCGAGAGAGAGAAAGCGTGCGCTGGTATTGGTGCCGAGCGGCATTGGTGTGCATACACACACGACGGGTAAGCGGCAACGAGTGCGAGGAGCATTGGAAAAAGAAAGAAAAACAGACGACCAGAAATATATTCCATTTTTTTCTGTGTTCGCTCGTCGTTTTCGTTTCGTTTTCTTCTTCACGTCGTTTCAAAGTTTCTATTGCAGAAATTTTTTGTGTTGTCTCCGCCAGAGCGTTTTTGATTTTTCCCGGCTTGCACAAAAATCGCAAAATTTTTTTGAGGAAATACGAAATTCGAGAAAATGTCGTAGAAAATTTGAAAAAATTTCCGGCCAAATTTTGGCCGGTTTTTAAATTTTTACAACACAACCGATTGCCACGCACTAAATTTCTAAATATTCTATGGAATTTTGCCGAATTTCGGTTTTCTACCATATATTTTTCACATTTTCCGGCGATTTTAGAAAAATCCCACAAACTTTTTCGCAACACTAAAACAAAAAAATTTCAGTCCGCTTGTGTTAATCGTTCTCCGAGCCAAAAATGTTTTTGCTTCAGTGTGACCGCGGCTGGCCGTTCAAATACACCACCGAGCACGGAAATACACTAAAATTGACTGTGCGACACAACACGCGAGTGGGCTCTCGCCGCTCTCGTTGCTCTCGCACGCTGTTGGGCCCCTGCTAGCGGCCTGTTACGGCTCGAAATCCATACAAATGCCGCTGTTAGCGCGCTGTTGCCACCGTAACAGCTGTTAGCCGCCTGTGCAAAGCCTGTTCCGCTCCCGGCTCTCGCTCTCTGCGTCGGCGAGTCCGCTCACGCCACGCGCTCTCTGAGAGCCGATACGCACACACCCGCACACGTATGGCGCGCCAGATAAAGAGGCAGCGAGTGCAGAGATGAGCCCTGCTCACCGGTGACTTATTCGGCGATATTTTTATGCGGCCGCAGTCACTGCTTAAGTCGCGCTAATTGCGCGCAAATGTTTGGAAATGTTGAGAAATAAAGTTCACCTTGGAAACTAGTTGGAATAGTGTTTTAGGATAATTTGTGTTTTGAAAATGTTTTCCTACTTAGCTTTTTCGATATATAAATTACAATTTTATTCCGCTTAAATTGTTGAACTCAATTTTTTATTAGTAAAATTATTACTTTTACTATCAATCTGATACAATATATTGACCATTTTAAAAAATCGCAAAAATGTTTTTAAAAAAGTCTGTGTTTTGAAGGATATAAAAAAATTTTTGAATTAAATACAAGAAAAAAATAATAAATAACGATGTTCACCGCCCGATCACGAAAATAATCGAGTCACTGGCTTTGCGCATCTCTGGTGGGTGCAGTGTGAGCGTGTTTTCCGCTTGCTCTCGCCGCGAGAGAGAGAGAGGCGACAAGCCGAAAAATCAGCCGCCGCAGGATAACACTATTGTCGTCCTTGTCCGACGAACCGGTGGCCATGCAAACAACGCACAGAACAAATTAATTTTCAAATTGTTCAAAAAATGCCCCACTGGCTTCTTGATTTCCCCCTTTTTACGACCAGAATTCTTGTGTTTTTTTGGGGCAGCTTTCCGTTTACTTTCCCAGCACTTTTTCGATTTTCGCGCGCTGTCGAATGCGTTTTTATTTACAATTTTTTTTGTTAGCGGCCGCCGTTGTTTGTTGCACATACACAACGCACACACACACATACACTTTCCTCCGACACACAGGCGCACACACACCGACACGTTGTCACCGAAACGAGCGGGATAGCGATACGGCTGGCTGGCGCTGGGTGCACGAGTGTGACGGAGATGGCACGAGCGAGACTCCAACGAGACGGGTCAGCGAGTCGGCGAGAGATGACTCTCTTTTGCGATTGGGAATAATGCCCGACTTTTTACACTGGATGCGTTGGCTCTGGTTATTTAATTATGCTATTTTCCTAGGGACATTGCAAATCGGCGGCACTTAATCTGCTGCCAGGCACGCCACACCAACCGATAGTTCTGATCCAACGTCACTGCTGCGCCTCGCGTGTACAATTTGCGCCAATTTTCCCCCCTTTTCTCGTCTTTTCCACCGCTCCTCTCTTCCTCTTCACCCTCTGCGGCGCAGTGCTGCCCATTTGGCTAGTTTGTAGCTCAAAAAAGCAATAAGTTGTCTCTAGCTATGTTATTTAAAAAAAAAATTATTTCATTTGTATGGAATTATACCTTAATAGACGCAAATTAAGTTAATATTGGTAATAAGTGCGAGCTAAGATATACAATACTCACTGGTAGCATCTCTTAATTCTGTTCAAAAGGGTTCTAATACAATTTTGGCGACTGCTTCATTAATGATATTTTAAAATTATTTAATTCTAATAAACAACTTTTTTTTAGTTATAATTTAAAAATTATTTTTGCCGTTTGGAGACATTCTGAAATGGCATCTCGTGAGAACAAGAAAATTAATACTAAAATTCTCTTAATTCTGTTCATAACGGTTCTTATACAATTTTGGCGACTGCCTCATTAATGTTTATTTTTTTAAATTATTTTATTCTAATAAACAACAACTTTTTTTTAGTTATAATATAAAAAAATTATTTTGGCGTTTCCAGACATTCTAAAGTGCCATCTCTTGAGAACAAGAATATTAATATTAAAAAAGAAAATCTAATTTGGATTTTGTTAATTTCGATAATTTGGGTCAAATAGAAAAGTGCACGCTCTTCGTGCGAATTTTTATTTTATTTATTGTAAAACAATTGTAAAATACAAAAACCTTAATCATTTTACATTTTTTTGGATCAAATATAAGCTGTTCTTACTAAAATTATTGCAATTAATATTTAATTGGGACTACTTAGACCAATTGCTAATATAAAAGGGTTAAGACATGTATGAGGTCAATTTTTTGGATAAATATTAAGAAATTGTTAAAAAAAAATGATTATTAACCTGTTTAAAATAATTTCTGAATAGTACTGTAGTATCTTCAAAGATTTAAAATTTTAAGAAAATGAAATGGAACATTAAAACTGGTTCATTTAAATAAGGACTGAAACATATTTGTATTAAAATAGTTTGCGATAAAATTAAAAATACTTTTTCACCACATGAGAGGTGAATGAAACGTTCAAAAATGCCGCCAACAGTGTTGTAAAATGTCAGAATGCGATACTTACCGACGTCACTCACCACCGCAAGCGAATGCAACAACCGCAACAACATCCTCTATGTAAAGGTGTCTTCGATAGGTCAGGATGGTGCATCGGCTTAGACGGGAAGGTGTACTTGCTAACCGCCTTTAAACAATGAAAAATAATAAGTTTTCTCTGTTATAAATTCTAGTATCATGGAAAGAGATTTAAAAACTTGCTTACTTCTTACATAGTGTGATTTTGTTTATAATTCTTTAAATTGTATCTCCTTTGATTTCCTTTGTAACGCCTACCAAAAACTGGAAATAAATCAAAGTTTCGATTCAAAATATTAATGTTAGTCATTTTTCCAGCAAAAGGACAATTAAGATTATGAGTATTAAAATAATTTAACCAAGAAAAATGTACAAGAAAGTGTCAACGTTCAATAAAATAAAACGTTTAGGAATATTTAAATTTATTTATTTATATAACTTTTAAAATGGTTGAATCATTTTTTTTAATATCATATTTAACTTAGTTGATTTTTAAGTTGATTTATAAAAATACACATTTTAAATTTTAAATGTTAATGGAATATCGATAGAGGAAAATTCGGGGGTCTAAAAAGCTATGGACATAACTCCGTTCCTTTCATTACTTTCACAAAAGCCAGACTACAAGCATCTCAACTAGCAAAACTTCCTCAAAAGTTTCACTAAAAAAAATTTAACTTTAATTTCCATATGTCGTCCATTTACAAAAGATTACGCAACCGAAATGTCCACTACACTTGATAAGAATGAAGTGTCGCAATCGGAATCCTCGGATGATGAAATTATTTTTCTTGGGTAAATTTTGTTTTTTAGTTAATATTATTTTCTGAATTTTTGATTTCCATAAACAGTTTAGAAGTTGTTCAAAAATATTGTTTTTCATAAAAATTGAAAATTGCGGTGAGTTTGGGCTCTGTTTATTATTATGCAACAGGAATATTTTTGATTTCCCTCGCACAGGTCGATTGCCCTTTGAACCTGTTGTGCCGACACCGACTGAAACAAAAGTCCACGATCCTGGGACAATGGAGCAGCGGCAGATTCTAAGGCATCAAAAGAACAGCGACTCGCAATTTGGAATCGGACCAATTAGTTGTCCTTTGTCCTGGCACCTTTGTCGCCTGGATTTTCGCAAACACAGTAAAATCACATCGATTTTCCCATGCTTCTTCCATCACTTTGCCACTGTTTCAGCCCAAGGAGTCCTGTTTCAGGACGAAGGATCCCTTTTAGATTTGTTACCATACCATACACCATACACCATGGATGGTGGACCGTGGAGGGAGCGCAGCGGGCGTGCGGTGCGGAGATCAGAGGAGCGGTCCGCCGCGGGGCGCCCTCAACTGATGATCATTTCGACACCCCATTTATGCGGCGGCTTCTTGCATTCTCCTCTCCGGTTCTCTCCGGTCAGCTCCTGTTCTCCGTGCACTGCGCAAAACTTTTAAACGAAGTTTATGAGAAAAAGAAAAAAAAAATATCAACTGTTAGCTGAATTTAGACCTTTTTTGTTTTATTAGCATATATAAAAACTCATGGGAATGTATTGAAAAAAAGTCGATAAAATGAAAAAAAAAATTTCTTAAAATTAAAAGAATCAAGAATTTTTAAAAATGTTAAATTGAATAGATAGTATTTCGTGGAATACCTAAAACTCTAAAATTTTTGTAGTACATTTCATCAAGAAAAAAATATTTGTGCCCAAATTAAAAAGGAAAAATAAAACAAAAAATCAGAGGGTGTTGTTTTTAACCATGTATATAACTTTAAGGGGTTACATATTTTAAAATTTATGGGAATAAAAAATATTACAGGTACAATTTTTTTATTTTTAAAAAAAATTTCTTAAAATTGAAAGAATCAAGAATTTTTTAAAATGTTAAATTTAATAGATAGTATTTCGTGGAATACCTAAAACTCTAAAATTTCTGTAGTACATTTCATCAAGAAAAAATATTTGTGCCCAAATTAAAAAAAAAATAAAACAAAAAATCAGAGGGTGTTGTTTTTAACCATGTATATAACTTTAAGGGGTTACTAATATTAAAATTTATGGTAATAAAATATATTACAGGCACAATTTTTTATTTATTTACCTTATAAGTGTATAATCATTTACTTTTGAGAATAGAGTTTTTCATGATAATGTCTGGGAACAATTTACAAGTATTTTTTCCAGTGCTGCAACAAGTGTCTCGAGTTCGGACATCTAGGGATTTCGGTTCGGTCGGCCAAGTGATTTCCCGGAAAGTGTTAGAATCCCCTTGTTTCGGCACTCTTTCTTGGCTCCCCCGCTTTCTACCCCTATTTAGGGGCTGTAAATTGATGCTGTTGACATTTTTAGTGCAAAACGGTCCCCGAGGAGATCTCTAATATCTTGTTCGCGGTTCGGGGCCCCCCCCTCCCCTCAGAGCCACACGCTCCGTCAT